CAAAAGACATGAAGAGAAATCTCACAGAGGAAGACATAGACATGGCCAACATGAACATGAGAAAATGCTCTGCATCACTTGCCATCAGGGAAATACAAATCAAAACCACAATGAGATACCACCTCACACCAGTGAGAATGGGGAAAATTAACAAGGCAGGAAACAACAAATGTTGGAGAGGATGCGGAGAAAAGGGAACCCTCTTACACTGTTGGTGGGAATGTGAACTGGTGCAGCCACTCTGGAAAACTGTGTGGAGGTTCCTCAAAGAATTAAAAATAGACCTGCCCTACGACCCAGCAATTGCACTGTTAGGGATTTACCCCAAAGATTCAGATGCAATGAAACGCCGGGACACCTGCACCCCGATGTTTCTAGCAGCCATGTCCACAATAGCCAAACTGTGGAAGGAGCCTCGGTGCCCATCGAAAGATGAATGGATAAAGAAGATGTGGTTTATGTATACAATGGAATATTACTCAGCCATTAGAAACGACAAATACCCACCATTTGCTTCAACGTGGATGGAACTGGAGGGTATTATGCTGAGTGAAGTAAGTCAATCGGAGAAGGACAAACAGTGTATGTTCTCATTCATTTGGGGAATATGAATAATAGTGAAGGGGAATATAAGGGAAGGGAGAAAAAAATGTGTGGGCAATATCAGAAAGGGAGACAGAACATAAAGACTTCTAACTCTGGGAAATGAACTAGGGGTGGTGGAAGGGGAGGAGGGCGGGGGGTGGGGGTGAATGGGTGACGGCACCGAGGGGGACACTTGACGGGATGAGCACTGGGTGTTATTCTGTATGTTGGTAAATTGAACACCAATAAAAATTAATTTATTGAAAAAAAAAGGAAAAGCTTTATTTATAAAGTTACAATAGTAAGAGACGAACAGTAACTAAAAATATAACCATCATAAAAATATACTGTAATAAAAGTTACGTGAACAGAGTCTCTCAAAATCTCTCTCTGTACTGCACTCACCCTTCTGGTACCCACGTGAGATGATAAAATGCCTATGTGATGAGGTGACATGAGGTGAATGTCAAAGGCACCGTGACATACTGTTAGGCTATACTACTGACCTTCTGATGATCTGTTATTTTACTGTGCTTCATAGATACTGTCTTTTTTCTTTTTTCTTTTCACAAGTTGAAGGTATATGGCAGCATTACATAAAGCAAGTCCATCTGCACCATTGTTCCATTTACTTTGTGTCTCTGTGTCACATTTTGGTAATGCTTGCAATATTTCAAACTTGTCATTATAATTGTATTTGTCGTGGTGATCCAGTGACAGTAAAACTGTTTAGGGACACCGCCAACCACACCTGTAGAAGATGGAGAACTTACCCAAAACATTGTGTGCATTCTGACTATTCCACCAACCGGCCACTGCCCGGTCTCTGTCCCTCTCCTTAGCCTCCCTATTCCCTGACATGCAACAATACTTAAATTAGGCCAGTGAATAATCCTACAATGGCCGCTAAGTGTTCAAATGAAAAGGAAGAGTCGCCTCTCACCTTAAATAATAACTAGAAATTATTAAGCTGAGTGAGGAAGTCGTGTTGAAAGCCAAGATAGGCCAAAAGCCAGGCCTCTTGTACCAAACAGCCAACTTAAGAACACACTGAAAAAGTTCTTGAAGTAAATTAAATGTGCTACTCCAGTGAACACATGAATGATAAGAAAGTGAAACAGCCTTGCTGCTCATATGGAGAAAATTCCGGTGGTCTGAACAGAAGATCACACAGCCATGATATTCCCTTAGGCCAAAGCCTAACCCAGTGCAAGGCCCTGACTCTCATCAATTTTGGGAAGCCTCAGAGAGGTGAGGAAGTTGCAGAAGAAAAGTGTGAAGCTGGCTAAGGATTGGGGTTCATGATGTTTAAGGAAAGACGTCGCTTCTATAAAAATGGAAGGTGAAGTAGCAAGTGCTGCTGTAGAAGCTGCAGCAAATTATCCAGAAAACCCAGCTAAGAGAATTCTTGAAGGTTGCCACACTAACCATTAGATTTCAATGCAGACCAAACAGCCTTACACTGGAAGAAGATGCCATGTAGGACTTTCATAGCCAGAGAGGAGCCAATGCCTGGCTTCAAACTTTCAAAGGACAGGCGGACTCTCTTGTTTGTTAGTGGCTAAGGCAGCTGTGACTTTAGGTTGTAGTCAATGCTCATGGGCCATTCCAGAAATCTTAGGACCCTTAAGAATTATGCTAAATCTACTCCACCTGCGCTCCAGAAATGGAACAAAACCTAGATGTGGCAACACATCTGTTTACAACACGGTTTACTGAAGATTGTAAGCCCACTGTTGAGACCCACTGCTCAAAAAAAAAAAAAAAAAAAAAGATTTTTTTTCAAAACATTACTGCTCACTGACAATGAACCTGGTCACCCAAGAGCCCTGATGGAAATGGACAACAAGATAGTGTCTCGTTGAGATTTCATGTCTGTGAGCACAACATCCATTCTCAGCCCTTGGATCACGAAGTAATTTTGACTTTCAAGTCTTTATTATTAAAGAAATACACTTCACTAAACTATAGCCGCCACAGATTGTGATTCCTCTGATGGATCTGTTCTATTGCATCTACTCTAGATGCCATTAGGAATATTTGTGATTCGTGGGAAGAGGTCAAAATATCAACATTGACAGGGGTTTGGAAGACACTGATTGCAAGTCTCAGGGATGATTTTGAGGGGTTCAAAGGGAGGAAATCACTGCAGATGAGGTGTAAAGAGCAGGAGAACTAGAATCAAAAGTGGAGCCAGGGAATGGGACTGGCTAGCCACAATCTCATGGTAAAACCTGAATGGGGGATCCCTGGGTAGCTCAGCGGTTTAGCGCCTGCCTTTGGCCCAGTGCGCAATCCTGGAGTCCCGGGATCGAGTCCCGTGTCAGGCTCCTGACATGGAGCCTGCTTCTCCTCTGCCTGTGTCTCTGCCTCTCTCTCTCTCTCTCTCTCTCTCTCTCTCTCTCTCTATCGTGAATAAATAAATAAAATCTTTAAGAAAATATGTTTAAAGAAAAAAACCTGAATGGATAAAGAGTTGCTTTCATAGATGAGCAAAGAAAGTGATTTCTTGAGATGGAATGTACTTCTGCTGAAGATGCTGTGAAGCTCCTTGAAATGACAATGAAGGATTCAGAATATCCCCATAAACTGAGTTGATAAAGCACCAGTAAGGTTTGAAAGGACAGACTCCAATTCTAAAAGAAGTTCTATCATGGGTCCGATGCTATCACAGCATCACATGCTACAGAGAAATCCTTCATGAAAGGAAGAGTCCATCAATGAGGTGAACTTCACTGTTGTCTTATTTTAAGAAGTTGCCACAGCCACCCCAACCTTCAGCGCCCACCACCCTGACCAGTCAGGAGCCACCAACATAGAGGCAAGACCTTCCAGCAGCAAAAAGATAGCAACTCCCTGAAAACTCAGATGAATGGCTACCTTTTTTAATAACATATTTTTTAATTAAGGTATCTCTTTTTTTAGATATGATGCTATTGCCCACTTAGTAGACCACAGTATTATGTAAACATAACCTTTATATTTATATGCACTGGGAAACCAAAAAATTCATTTGAATCAGTCTATTATGATATTCACTTTATTGTGGTGGCCTAGAACCAAACCCTCAGTATCTCCAAGGTGCCTGTATATATGTTTTTCTCTTTAATAAAAAGATGGTATTTTCTAGTTTCTTTACACCACATATAAATAGGTGTTGACACTTAAACCCTTACTTTCACATACAGTGGTTTAGGTAATAGGGAAATTCCACACGACACCAAAAATCTGAAACCAATAGGTTAGCTAAAATATTATAAGCTTAGATAAAACAATAATACTCTAATGAATTCTAAAATTGCCTAATCTGCAACGTGTTAACAATTATAGTAACTAAAGCTACAAAAGATAAAGCAAGAATTTCTGTATTTATTGTGAATTCTGTATTTATTGTGAATGCCTATACTTGAAAAGCAAACTTAATTAAAACACAAAAGGCCATAAATAGTCTTCTCAGTAATTTCAAGGACGGAAGGGTTGACAGCCCTGGTTCATTATTTTATATCTAATTTCACTGTATTTTATAAGGTGCTTTTCCTAGATACAATTGTTCATCCGCATCACTCTTATGCTAGACCACCATGATCAAGTTTCTCTCTCAGGTCACATGACTATCACACAGAAGACAATTAAAAGTCCACAACCACTAAGTAAACGACAACTTCTTCAGGTTTAGATTCTCTCTCAAACCACACAGTACCCCAAAGTTTCCCAAAATTATCTCTTTCTGACGCTGATACAAGGCTCACCATGACCTCATACTAAAAGTACATTTCCCAAAGGGTGTTCCATGGAACACTGGTTGCCACACATCTTCCAGATATTCTAAAAAAAGATGGTTCTATATTCATAACAACTGTATAAATTCTAGGATAACTGGGAGTATTTCTGATGTTTAATTTTGTTTAAAATAGTTTCCCAAATTTCTTTAGCCACATAAACATCTCCCTCCTCTCCCTAGCCACAAAGAACCTATTAATATTCCCTGGGTTTCCAAAACACATTTTGAAACTAGGGATGGTGCTAGAGTAAAGAAGCCCTAATTCCAAAATAGAAGCAGAGAATTCATAGCAGGAAGAATTAAGGGGCAAGCAGCAAGATAGGAAAGTGGGGAGCCATGGGAGCCAGGTCTTCATGCCTTCTGTTACCACAAAAGCTAAAGTGCTGCTTTCCTATAGCAGCAGATAAAGAAGCATTAGAAGGGGGATACGAAGGCTAGCTAATATAGGGCTAGCCATTCCCCATGTACTAACTGTTAAAAGGAAGTGGACACAAGAAAGAAAGTATGGAACAGCTAGCTAGGAAGAGCGATTCTGGTGCTCTGATGGGCATCAGTGGAAAAGAGAAAGAAATCCTCTTGATCTACAAAAGAGTTTTGTATGCAGTGACACAACAACAAAAAAGGCATTCTCTGCTCGCTTTCGGCAGCAAATATACTAAAATTGGAATGATACAGAGAAGATTAGCATGGCCCCTGCACAAGGATGACAAAAAAAAAAAAAAGCCATTCTTATATCTGGGATGACCTATAATTACAGTATGGGTCATTAAAAAACAAATATCATTATGTAAAGAACTTCTTGACTCATTAACATACAGCAAAAGCAACTGAGCAAATACTTGGCCATAGCTTCTGAAAACTTGAAGTCACTCCCACTGGTAGTTTCATGAGTAAAAGGATCAGAAAATCCATGGAACTAACAAATCCTTCTCACTTGCATCTATTCTAGAGTTCATCTGGAGTAATGGGGAAGATATAACCAAAAACCTAATACCAATGTCTACAGGTCACATGATTATCCCTCTTGTTCAACAAACTTCCAACTCTGACAATCAATAAACCAACATCCAAGAGCCCAAAGTCAGAAATGGAAAAATGTCAAAGGAAAAGGAAATGAAGCATCAAAGACTCAAAGACACTACAAAGGAATGAAGTCAATTTCTCTGTTCACTAAGTTCTTATAAATTAAACATATCCGTTCACAGTGCAGACTTAAGTAGCAACTCAGGACACCACCATATTCACGCTCATTTTTATCATTCATCCTTTCTCCCATTCTCCAACCCTCCCTTCCAATTTTCTTGCCCCTACCTAAACTCCTCTGTATTAACTTCTTCAGTCTGTCCCTAACTTTATCACGTCTGCTTTTTGAAAAAAAGGAATTACATCTACCATCTTTTTGCTGTTAAAATATTTTAGCTTCATCTCCACTGAAGTTTCAAACTTTTAGGATCCCATTCCACAACAGAAATACAGGAAAACACAAGAGTTTTCCATGAAAATACTCTTTCTAAACGCAATGTCCTTGATTTTTTCGATTCTGATCTATTTAACTTTTTAAATGCTTGGACTTAGTAAATTGATTTTTAAAATCTATCTAAACCAACAGGATGAAACACAATGAGCTACATACACAACATAGCGGCAATAAGTCCACCAAAGGAGAAAAGATTTCAGAGAAATTTTTTGCCTGCCATTATAGAGTAGTGTAGTAAAATATTAATTTGTACCAAGTAAGGTTCCCTACCCTAAAATAGCTTGGGCTTACTCTGTAATACTAATCAAGTCCCAGGAATTATGAAACATTTCATAAAATTGCCAACATTATGCTATTTGTTTTTACATTGTGAAGGTATGCCTTACATATCCATATGAAAAATAAATTACTAAAAGTCTTAAAACTTTTAAACCTAATATCCCCATTCTTGCTCCCCATTCTCTTCCTAAAAGAGAGAGACACAAAATACCATATGATTTCACTCATATATGGAGTCTAAAAAAAAAACAAAACAAAGGCAAACAAAGACAAACAATAAACAGACTCTGAAACACAAAACAAACTGATAGTTGACAGAGGGGAGATGGATGGTGGGCATGGGTGATACAGATAAAAGGGATTAAGAGTAGTTTTATCTTGATGAGCACTAAGTAATGTACAGAATTGCTGAATCACTGTCTTGCACACCTGAAAATAATACAACACTGTATTGTTAACTACACTTCCATTAAAAACAGAAACAGAAAACAGAGAAATGGTTAAATAATAGCCACCACTTATTGAGTATGCCTCTACCATGTACCAGCATTGTGCTAGGTCAAAAAATCATACTTCCTCACTGTTATTCTTACACTAGAATATTAAGTGACTAGGATAAAGGAAACAAGTGCTCAATCTGTATTTCCAATGACATTTATGACAATCCTAAGGACTAACACAAAAATAAACTTAATCAGTTATATGAAATGAACACTTTGATAGCTTGGTATGACAAATTCTCCTAAAGTAAAGCTAATAAGAAACAACAGAAGTGTAGAATGAAGTGTCCTAGAAAAGATTCAGATCCTTCTAATCAAGTCATCATCACCTCACTTAATTGACCCACATCTGAAAAAATGTAAGTTGTAAAATTACCCAATGAAAGGAAAAGTTTAAACCACAGTACTAGAGCACTGAAGTGCTCTAGTAATAAGTTTATTATTAATCTTTTGGATATATCTTATGGATATAAACACTAAGCTATAAAACTATTAAGGATAATTTTAAACGAAAGATTACAAAGTACAAGATTCAAAAAGCATCAAAAAAGTTATCCACGTACAGATAGCCTTGTACACATCTTTTGTATTAACAATATCTTACATCTATTCTTTAAGTACGTTGGTAAAGAACTGCCAAAAATTTCAATTTCCCATTTTAAAATAGAGAGTAGCCAATTCAATGAATAATGCACTCATTTAGTCACTGCTAGCAACTTAGTTTATAATATAAATGTTATTTTTACTTCCACAACTCTAACTTATTCAAGAGTTATACTACTGATATCAAAACTATTATTTTATAAACAAATGTACAAATCATTATCATTTCACCAGTTAAAAAACAAAGACACAAAAGTCTTTCAAATCTTACCGTATATAACTGGGACATATGTATTATTAAATTTCATAATGGGCCTATGGGCCTAAGGCACTCTTATCCCCTTGCTCTACTGCTAGTTGCCTTCATTCCTTCCCCCTCTCTAGAACTCTACTTATTACCTCCCCCCAACCATCAGCAAGAGCAAGGAATGCTGCCCTCCTTCAAAACAAAAACAAATCTGAGTGAAATGCCAGTTTTCTTATTCTCATGATACTGTAATGAACAAAACATTAACTATACCAATATAAAAGTGAAACGGACCATAACTAGGAATAAAGTGAAACTGATGGAAATGAACCAAAAAGCAGACAGAACCTTGGCTGACTCTATTTTTTAAAGTAGCCTATCATCAGCAAAAAACTAAGGCATAGCGAGCTGGCATGTTCATTAACATAAACAACCAAACGCAAATATATAGCATGTAATATAGAGTATTTAACTACTACTGCTCTACTGTTGCAAATATTGGGTCTTTTAAAACTAAAAATTTACAATCTAAAAATTCTATCTTTTACCACAAATCATAATGATCATATTTAAACCCTACAAACAATCCCTATAAATTTCCAACACCAACCAAAAAAGCAATGTTTAAGAAATTAAACTGAGGTCATTTCACTATCTGGAAACTTCATCTGTGTTTTTATATAATGTTAGATACTAAGACTAGCATAGGACATTTCCCCAAAATGTAGTAATCAATTCAGACACAAAACAACAGCTGATCTATTTCAATACTTAAATGGAGAGAACAGACTGGGATTCTCAACCTAAATTCTCAAATAACTTTAAAATAGTAAATAATACAACTCAAGATACATCTTTTGACAGTTTTTCCATTCTTAACTTTTTCTTAGTCCTTACCCAAACTTCTGCAGTTGATAACTCCCACTTTCAAGACCTCCTACTTAAAAATGCCTGACTCGACACTGCCTAGCCCCACAGCGTACAAATTTCTCAAAAATTCTAGTCTCTTTTTCTCCACTACAGAGAAAAACAATACAAATTTACTGGAGACTGTACATTTTTGTTACATTATATCAGACATTATAAAAAAAAAAAAACAAAATATGCAGAATACCACTAAAACAAACTGTGCAAAGTCCCTGGTTTGAAATTACTTAAAATATATTAAGAAAAATAAAATATATTTGGCCCAATACTTATTTGACCTTTGGCTTATTTGGCTTAAATTAAATATGCATAAGCAATTTTTTAAATAGAGATGTAAAAAACAAAAATCCAAGATAACATCTTTAGTGAAAAACATACACAAATTATTCTGGCAAAACAGCAAAATACCTTCTTATATAAAACTACTATGTAAACTCTTAATAACCAAAAGGCAACTGAGGATAGGATTTTCTCTTTTATCATAATTTTAAAATTATACCTATTACTGATACACAGAGTTCTCCCATCATTTTGTATATGAGAAGGAAAAGATTCTAACAACAATCATGATCATTGACAAAGAGTGTCGCTATGGAACCGTAATTCAAGAACTGAAACTGTAAAAGTACCTAAGCCTTTTTTTTTAATTTTCAAAAGAAACACTTAAAAAAAAAAAAAAAAAAAAAACTCTGAGTGTAGGAAACATGAAATGTAAAACGACGTATGCTTTACAAAATATGTTACTCTATGCATAAAAACAAAAGACATACAAAACCAGTACCAAAGTCAATCAAAATGGTGTTACTCTTGAGACAGATGACTTAGAATTCTTACATTCCTAGTATGAGCCTGGTAGTCTGTTTGTAAAAATCATCCCATTCACACTTAGGAATACACACACATTTTAAACACCTCATGACAAGTTGCTAGAAAACTTCTGATACTGGCAAGTTAAATAATTAAAGGTATCCTACAGGCCATCTTGAATGTGATTTATCTGAAAAACCAATTTTCAACAAATTTCTAATCAAATAAATAAATAAATGAAATAACCACCACTTGACTTTTACTTCAAGACAATCGAGCTTTACTGGGAACAGAGACATTTTAGGAAACTTTCCAACAAACTAAAATTATTCATTCGTATTCCAAAGATACAAAATGCTTCTTTAGCTAAAAGCCAATGTACCAACACAGGTGGGGGTGGTGATGCGGGTTCTCCCAACAGAGACAGCCGCTGGATGCTGGAATGTGCTCTCTCTAACAAGGGAAGCAAAACTGAAGCCAAGCCTTCCAGCTTGAAGGTCACATGGACCTACTGCGCTCATCTCTGATCTATTCCACTACAGCGGGTCTTCTAAAGCTCATCTCTATTTAGGGAAGTGAGGACAAAAATCTAACCGGTTTAGGATTGCCTTAGATTTATAATCTATCTAACCCTCAAGTGGGAGCTGTTCCCAAACATTCTCCACCAACTACTATCACAGAATTTTTTGACTATTATGTCATGCTATTCTACAAACATGACAATTTTTGGAAAGCCCATGTTTAGTAGTTTCCTTTGCTTGCACCACATGGAGATGAAATAAAACCCCGGCCGGCCGAACGCCACCTTCCAGATCTCATTGACCTAAGTAAGGCATTTTACTATCTCCTCCCATTTCAAGAGTGATTCCCAAAGTCTGGGAAGGAATGTTTCCACCAATAAATACCTTTCCACTGATTGTGTGTTATTCCGCCATGCGTTAGGCAACTGTAAGCAATAATCCATTTTGCTCATCACAGAATTATTCAAAAATCTCTGACTGCTGACCTAAAAAAAAAAAACTTAAGTTCTCCCTCCTGAATTCCACATTAAATCGAGCCAATCATTGAGTAGCATGGTTTTAGTCTTGGGGAAAACATCTACCAAAAACCTAAAAAAAAAAAAAAATCTGGAATAACTGGTGTCTATTTCTTCATTGTACATGCATTTAAATGCACGGACGGTACCCATCATGTATTTAGGTCTCTGTTATAAACACACGTTAACACGAACACGATAGCTACCTCTCCGTGTGCCGATTACAGGGTCGACAGCTTACTCCGAGAACTCCTCGCCAACAATTAAATCCTAATGCCCACCCAAAGGGAGCTTGCTGAAAAACACAGACTCACCCCATTCCAGGTATTCAAGAATGTTCTTCTCCCTCCGCAGCGGAGAATTGTTGCATTCATCGTAAAGGCAGATGAGGATGTCCAGCAGCGTCTCCACGCTGAAGCACTGCCCATTGGTCTGAGCCGGCCCGTCCAAAATGAACTGCTCCAACTGCCTCAAGCGCACTTCTCCAGACATGGTTGCTCGGGGGCCCGCCGCTTTCCACTTCCAGGAGCCGTGCGGTTTGCACTCCGAGGGTCCGAGAGCCTCCGTTGTCAGAGGCGCGGTTCGCACAATCCGCCCCTCGCTCCGCACGCGACGGTCAGGCACCGCGGGGGCTGGGGGACACCCCGCCGCGCCAGGAAGCTCACTTCACCCGAGCGCCTCGGATCCCGCACCCGGGCATGGGCGTGGGGGGAGGAGGGGGGAAAGTTACCGTAAAAGAGATCTTTAACGCATCTTAGAACGAAGAATACAACCGTGTGCCGTAGGTTTAAATAAAATAATAATTAAAAGTACGGCGAACCCAATAGTCGGGATCGCTTTAAAAAAAAAAAGAAAGAAAGAAAAAGAAAAGAAGAAAACCACAAAACCCAACTCTTCTCCTTCATTCAAAACGCAACTCGTGCAACACAATCCCGCAACGAATCCGGCCGCATCGTCCAGGAACGGGTCCGATCCGCACCAGCAGCTCACTTCCCAGGAAGGAGGAGGACGGGAAGGGAGGAAAGCCCCAGAAGGTACATGGGGGAGGGAAAGGCTCCGCGCTGCTGCAAAGGCGGCCGCCCGCCGCTGGGAGAGCGCCCCGGCGGGCGGGGAGGGGGCGGCGGCGGCGGCGCGGCGCGGCGGCGGCGGCGGCGGCGGCGGCGGCGGCGGGAGGGGGACCGGGTCGCGGCCAGGCCCCCGAGGCAGCCCCTCGGCTCGCCGCCCGCCCGGTCCCGCCCGGAGGACGCGCTTCCTTTCTCCTCACGGCTCGGCGGCGACTCGTCCCCGCCGCGGACTCCGCGCCTCACTCCTCATCGCCCTCGCGGCGTCCGCCGGGGCCTGACGCGCGGCGCGGCCGGGAGCGCAGGCTGCGGCGGCGCTCGCCCCGGCTCCGGGGGCTGCGGCTACTCCGCCGCCCGCGCCCGCGCCCGCGCCCGCGCCCGCCCCATGGCGGGGGGTCTCCGGCCGGGGGCCTGCGCCGCGCCGGGCCGACAGCCGCTCTCCCCCTTCGGCCGCCCCGAGGCTCCCGACGCCCTGGCGCGGGAGGGCGGGCGGGGGCTCCGGATTCGCAGGACGGGACGCGGGCGGCGCCTTCTCCCCCTTCTTCACGCCCCGGGGCTCAGGGCATCTTTCCCCGACGAGGCGCAGGAGGAGGGGTCGGAGCCGCCGCCGAGGCGAGCAGAGGCTGCGGCAGCCCGGCTCGCAGCCACTCCCTTCCTCTCCGTCCCACCCCTCCCCCGCCTTCCCGGCCTGGCGCGCTCGCGCCCTGGGCTCCGCGGGGCCCCCGCCTGCCCCCACGCGCGCGCCGGCCGGAGGCGCGCCGCCGCGCCCGGATCCAAGATGGCGGCCCGGCCGCGCGCGCGCCGCCCCCGGCCCCCCGCCCCGCCCCCGCCCCCGCCCCCGCCCCCGCCCGAGCGCGCGCGCGCGCAGCCGCAGGGGTCGGGTGCCGCGGCCGCGCGGAGCAGAGGGGAGGCCCCGGCGGGAGGGCGGGGCAGCGGCGGGCGCGACGCGGAGCGCGGGGGCGCGGGGGCGCGGGGGCGCGGGAGGAGCGGCGGAGCGCCACCTGCCCTCACGCTGGCCGTGGCGGGGCGGGGGGCGGGAGGAGACGAGGGGCTGCCCTGCGGAGCCCCGCGCGCGCCCCCGCCGCCCAGATGCGGGGCCGAGCTCCGCCGGCCCGCGGTTCCCGCGTGTCATTCCCAGGACGGACGCAGTGACACGCTCGTGTGCGCCAAGGGCACAGCGCCCACCTCCTGCCCCGAAAGTTCCCCGCGCGCGGCACTGCGCTTCCTGCCTGGGGCCCCTCCGGCGGCTGCCTGTGGGTCCCCGCGGCGCTTCCACCTACAGGGGAGCCGCGGTGGGGGTGTCTGCTCGGCGGGCACGACCCCCGGCCGCCCCGGGGGCGCCCGCGCGCGGTTGGCCCGGCGGCACCGCAGACGCCAGCGGACCGGAGCCTCTCGGCGGCTGAGCGGCCCCGGCGGCCCCGGCGCACAGGAGCGGCGAGGGCCTGCCCGGTGGCCCGGTGGCCCGGTGTTGGGAGAGCTCTGTTTACACGTTCCTCCTGCAAGCCCCCCACCCCCGCAATGAAATGTATCACCAAACTGGGTCACTGCCTTTCTGTCATTTCCTCGCAAAACTGCCATCTCCTTTATCCTTTTCCTTTTTTTCCAAAATACAATTATGTGATGTGCTCTGCCTATGCCCGCGGGCCAGTTATGTTTTCTATTAATGCCCACAATGGCATCTTTTTACATCTTCATAACACGGAAGCTGAAGAGCAGCTAGAAATGAAGCCTAAGAAATGAAGGCTAACAGATTATTCAAGTTGCTGCGAGTCACAAAACAACGATGAATTTTGCGTGAAATCTGTGCTCGCGAAGGCTGCGCTCGCCTGGCATCATTTCCCATGTGCTGCTCACACATGTGTGACACTTAAACAAAAGATCAATCGTTTCTAGCCATGACATCGTTATGTGTGTGTGTTGTCTGATTATAAAAGTAATAGGCAAAAACGAGATGTGTAATCCTAACATAATATTTTGGTGTTTATTATTCAAGCCTTCTTCCCATGCATTTAAACAAAAGTGATACATAATAAAAACAGTTATATAGCCTCCTCTTTTTTTGTTGTTGTTGTTAAAGATTTTTTATTTATTCATGATAGACACAGGGAAAGAGGCAGAGACGTAGAGGGAGAAGCAGGCTCCATGCAGGAAGCCTGACGCGGGACTCAATCCCAGGTCTCCAGGATCACGCCATGGGCCAAAGGCAGGCACTAAACTGCTGAGCCACCCAGGGATCCCCTATAGCCTCCTCTTTTCACTTAGCAATATACTATAAACATCCCTTCAGGTCAACAAGTGTTCTTCAACAACATGGTTTTTAATAGTGAGGCCAAGACATTTTAACACTCCTATCTGACCTTGGAAGTGGGGTAGCAAAGAAAGAAGCCATTTCGTCTGCCTTTCCACCATAGAATGGGCAGACTCTAGGATACCTACTTACCCAACTTGTAAGTGACTATAAAGAAGAATTTAGAAGGGAGAACCTAAGTAGTGTCTGGGTGGCTCTGTTGGTTGAGCCTCTGCCTTCAGCTCAGGTTATGATCCCCGGGTCCTGGGATCAAGCCCCATATTGGGCTCCTTGCTCAGTGGGGAGTCTTCTTCTCTCTCTTCCTCTGCCTGCCACTCCACCTGCTGTGCTCCCTGTCAAATAAATTAAAAAAAAAAATCTTTTTTCAAAAATTAAGAAAAGAGAAAACCTAAAACATGTTAGGTCTCTGTGAGTGCTAACTAATGATGGAAGTATGTGAGATACAGGTAAGTTTTTTAACAAAAGAGTCAAGCTGCCAGTCCACTCTCTACCTATTCTGTTAGCAGTTGGGTACCACCCACAGTCCAGGGTATTGATGGTTGCTTAATAACCTTTTCCACATTATTTAGAGAGTAAAGGGGAGGACTTATTTAAAAAAAAAAAAAAGGCACAGAGAGAAAGAGGAATGTTGGGCCCAATCAATTTGGCTTGAATAATTCAAGCTCAGAGACTTAATAATTAACTAGATACTAAACACATTGTGTGGGTGTTATTTTAAATGTTCCGGTTGAAGTGTGAACATGCTTGTTAATGAAACCGGTCTTAAGCCAAAGAAAGGCGCAGCCCCAGCAGCCCCACAGCGCTTGAAGTGCTCCTGTAAAGCCAGAGTGGCACAGGCGGTATGGCACAGTGTTGTCTGGGAAGGGAGCCTAGAGGAAGTCTTTGTGAAATTCTGCTTGGGGGCCTGGAGATCAGATGTAAGCTACCACAAACACAATTTGTTTAAAATCATCAGAAAAAGTTTTATATGTAAGTGCCGGGAATCATTCTAACCCTTCAGCAAAGAAAGGGAATGAGACAGGACCAGAAGACAGGAGTGAAAAGAATAGGACAGGATGGGAGTCATTAAGCCTAGTCTCCAATGCAAGCTCCATTCATTTATCTAATCCTCAGATTCTGGCCTAAGAGTCAGAGAATCAATGCATCATTGAATATTTGTAGGGACCAACCCCACTCTTACCTTGATGTATGTTATCTTGCTCCGGAATGACTATAGGTTCAGTGATGGAAAACAGGAACCAAAACAAGGTGCATGTCACATCACAGTCCCTTTCTGCCCAGCACAACCTGACCTAGCAAATGAATGACTAGGTTTATCAGCCTCTGAGGAAGAAACCCCACCTTGTCCTCACTTTACACTGGCTCCCACATGAGTAACCCGGACTGCAAAGACTAGGGTTTTTTTTTTGGTTTTTTTTTTAAGGAAGACTTTGGTTTTTTTTTGTTTTGTTTTGTTTTTTTTTTAATTTTTTTTTTTATTTATTTATGATAGTCACAGAGAGAGAGAGAGAGGCAGAGACACAGGCAGAGGGAGAAGCAGGCTCCATGCACCGGGAGCCCGACGTGGGATTCGATCCCGGGTCTTCAGGATCGTGCCCTGGGCCAAAGGCAGGCGCAAACCGCTGCGCCACCCAGGGATCCCTTAAGGAAGACTTTGTAATTGGTAATTGCTTCCTTTACAGAATACTGGCAGTGTATAAATACTGTCCTGAGTCCTTTGGACACGTTATTCTATTCAATCATGATAAACATAGGAAGTAGAAAAATTGCCATCTCTGTGTCATAGACGAGAAAACGAAGCCTAGGCAACTTAGATCCATAACTAGCAAATAAGCAAGGAACTATACAGGTCAGCACCAGGCCCACACAGCTCATGCCAAGTCCCGTGGTTTTATTTTATTTCTTTTCTTTCTTTTTTCCTTTTTTCCCTTCTTTCTTTCTTTATTTATTTTAAGATTTTAATTTTTAAGTAATCTTTACACCCAACGTGAGGCTTGAACCTACAACCCCGAGATCAAGAATCACATGCTTTACCAACTGAGCCGGCCAGGGAGCACCAGGCCCATGGTTTTAACCACTACACAAGTGAGGTCTGAAAGTCTGCAGAATTCTGTAAACCCAGACTCTTGTTGCAACCAGGAAGCAAGGAGATAGAGTTGTTAGTTCACATATTTGGGCCTTAGAAATTGACACACAGGCAGACAAAGGAAACAAGTATGATGTGTCAGGGTCCAACCAGAAAACCAGAAATTGCCTGTGTATTTATACCAGGGAAACCTTAATTCTTGGAAATGATTTCAAGCCCTGGGTGATAGCAGGGTTCAGGAAACAAGGAAGAGCAAGTTTTTACCCAAACTATTAAAAAAAAAAAAAATGTTTTGTCTCTGAACGAACACTAAGTAGGTTTTGAAGTGCCTGGTTTTAACATAGGAGCAATTTTCACTCCTCTCTTTTCATATTTATTTTGCCTTTTTTAAATCCCTCAAAAAGGTTAAAAAACCAAACAAACCCTACTCATCTAGGGCAAGTTTAATTAGGTTCAGAGAACTAATGTTTCCCACTTGCTCATCAATGGATCTTGCTTATCTTTAAATCTCTTGTTTAAACTTCTCATTAAAGCTCTATGTAAACAAGCTCTACTATAAATGGAATTTTCAGAAATATCCTTTGGGTCAAACATTATGATTCAGATATTGTCCACTATTGGACCTAGTTAGGAAATTTGAACA